CTTTTTTTTTCTCAGACTCTGAGAGCGAGAAATAAAGCCAATAAACAGACCGAAGGAGAAAGGGCACAGCAGACGACAGAGGCGAAAGACGAGGATGAGCGCGACCCATACAGCCTCTGCAGCTCTGTGGACCTCGATAAGGTGTGTGCGTGTTTTGAGACGGGGCTAATATGCGATCAAATGAAGAGTGCGTCTTTTCTGCATCTTTTTTTGAGTCAATGTGTGCTTTTGCTGAAATTATGCAGCAATCGATCAGACACTGGAAACAAAAGGTGGAGGATGACCTAACAAGTGTATTTGCTTACCCGTGACGGGGTAGGTGAACAGCCATCTGGTTATTCACCCTGCTTCATCTGTTTGCAGATTGCATGATTTCCCACACTGCCAGACACAAGCATGTACAAAACAGAAGACAAAGCAGCATTGCTGAACTCCTAAATCTAAGCCAGTGCTGAAAGTCTAGACTCAAAATGGTGCAGGTGTTTTTTATATGTTCATACTAGAAGAATTTGTCCCTGCGTGCTGAAATCTACCTTCAAGCACACACAGTCAGACATTCATTTAAACTATGCTCATGTGATGGTGCAGTTTGACACGTGTTTTTCCACTTTAACAGGCTCAGCACCACAATGACAGATTCAACCAGTCTGTCTCGCTCTCTCTGCTGCCAGGCAACGCTTTATTGAACGAGACCCATGACTCTTGACTTCACACACTTAAGTTTTGCAAGGCCGGTTTCAAACACCAGTGTTTTTGTGACACAGGGATCTGTCAGTTTAAGCCCTTCATTCTGAGGGTTTGCTTCTTCCAGTAACTTGAATCCTGATGCTCGGACACTCCCTTCACACATCTCAAACATGGGTAACTGTACCCATGTACAACACTCATGCAGTTTCTGCGCTATGCAAAATGTTGTTATTATCACCAGCACACTTGTCATGTGCTAGCCTTCCTCATTTAAAAAAAAAGAAAAAGGCCCGCTTTTTGTTTTCAAACTGGTTAAGCTGGATCGTAGCCACTTTAATGTCCTGGTTGTTCGATACTCACCTTTACTCAAGCTAAATCAGTCCGTCCACATTTGCGAGCTGCGTAACACCAGGAATCTGAAGCATGTCTTCACACTTGGCTTGGCTTTGTTCACCTGTTATTAAACACAGAAACCGGTTTCTGTATCTTTTCTTATGCAAGCA